TTCTGGCCAATGCATGCTCCCTACTAGCAGCAGTCTACCAGCGTATTGAATTCCAGCAATGCATGCCTGGCAAATGATGCTCTAGTACTAGCATGTCCGCCAGTGCATCCTCCAGTACTAGCAGCGTACTAGCATGTCCAGCCCTGTGAGCTGGGGGGTGGCAGCGCATGCATTTCTGGCCAATGCATGCTCCCTACTAGCAGCAGTACTAGCATGTCCAGCCAGTGCATCCTCCAGTACTAGCAGCGTACAGAGTTCACCATGTCTCTTTACCTTATTACCAGTTTTTTCTTCTTCGAAAAAGCAACTACGCCAGGTTAGTTGACGCAACTGCCAGATCTTTTGGTACAGTTACCAGGTTTCACGAAAAGCAATTACCAAGTTCCCCGATTTAGCGACCAAATGTACCGAAACCTGGGGACTGTACCAAAAGATCTGGCAAATACAAAAGCAGTTTTAACAAAATCTGATTGCTGGTGTGAGAGAGGGAGGACCACATGTGCGTTCTGCGAGAAAATGTAAATATGACACATGAATAGTTTGTGCTCAAAATATAACTTGCTAGCTAGAAACCTGATTGCTGGTGTGAGAGAGGGAGGACCGGAGGAATGAGTCGAGAATTCTTGATTTTTTTGTATGGAGAAATTCTGGAACGTTGAAGTGCTAGCAATTGGCAAATACTCCCTCTGTTCCGAAATACATTGCGTATTAATTTAGTCTCAAGTCGAACTTTGTGAAGTTTGACAATGTTTATAGAAAAGTTATCAGCATTACAGTACCGAAGCAATATCATTGGGTCTATCATGGCATATATTCTCATATAGTAGGTGTTAATATTTCTTTAATATAAACTTGGTCAGACTTTACAAAGTTTGGCTTCAGATAAAAATAATATGAATGTGTTTTCGAAAGGAGTAACAAAAGAAGTGCATTTCATACTCTTACAATTAGTGCTCAGCACTTGTTCCTTGGTGTTAGTAGTGTCATTGTTGGTTTACGAGCCCATAACACAATTTTATGTATAATATTGTTTGTTTGGATAATTGAATTGCTCATGTATATACAGGAGTTATTCTTTGTATAGTTAGAAGTTGTGCTTCCATTTGTTATGTGATGGATAATCAATGCCTGTTGCATTTGATTTGTTCTTGTCATTTTCACTTGAACATTCTTTTTATTTATATTTCATAACAGGCTGAGTATGACCTGACAAGAGGGGCTAACTGGAACAGATTGCAGAGTGAAAACGAGTATGGGAGTTTTTCAATGAGGATGATAATCAGTTCTTTATTTTCCACTTTTGAAGTTAAACTGCTTTTCTTGAGTCAAAGCATGACATATAACTGTTTACACTTGGAGGTTTAATCTCGATGGGCATCGACGTCGGGTAAGAAGAGGCTTGGGGAAACTTGTACGCATTGGCAAAGGTAACGTGATAAAGCTACAATATCAGTTTTTTCTTGACGGAGAACAGTAGCATTCTACTGCATGTATTTTTTGTACAACTGACAGAGAGAAAGCAAAAAAAAAAGGTGTCTAAATGAAGCTACCTATCCAAGATTAGAAGTTAGTTTCTGAAAGCCCTAATAATATCAACTTGTATGATGACTAGAAGGGTACGTGCACCTTTTTCGTGCCGTTCTTTTTCCCAGGGTTGTGGGCTAAAGGTTAGCTATTTCTTTTGAGCGTCTTTTTTCGCAACAGTGCCTGTTTTTAGGTTGGCGTTCTTGTGTTTGCCAGTGTAGGTGAGTCTCTTTTTTTTTGCGTTCGCTCATTAGCGATTTGCAGCCGAACCCAGCGAGGTAGCTCAAACGGAGCGAGCCAAGCAAGCAGCGAGGGAATTTTACTAGAAAGCAAACCAAATTAGCAACTGTCAGGGCAGGAAGTCTAAGCAGTATAGAGTATGTAATGTAAAGATAACTAGATGGAGGAGTTTTACTGTACCTGTAGACGCCCTTGCCAGTGTGGAATATGGATTGGAAATGCAAGTTTCTCGCTGTACAAATGTGTACTTAGTTGGGAACCAATTCCTTAGCTGAGTAAACTATAAGAATGACCAATTCCTTAGCTTAGTTGGGAAATGTGTACTCAAGTCCAATTTCATTCTGGTAAATTTGTCAACTGCTATTATCTTCGGATTTGTCCACCAATATGATTTTATTGAGAACAAAATTTGCTGGCTATCTTCTAGATGATTTGATTCATTTTGAGTGTCGTGCTATTTGCCAAGTTTCTCACTGTACAAATGTGTACTTAGATGGGAACCAATTCCTTAGCTGAGTAAACTATAAAAATGG